ACCTGTCGAGGGTATTTAAACACAATAAATACCTGGCCGTGAAGGGCTCCATCACCACCCAAAGCTCAACCCTTACGCTTAGTAACATAGATATTAGAGGCTGAAAAACATCTTGTCCTTGGCCAGACTCTTGGTTCCTGCAGCAGAGATTTTTTTGGTTTGCAGCCCACACTACTTTTCAAGTCTTCTTGGCTTTGGCGTTACCCTTTTTCTTGCTAATATTATTTTATTTGACTCTGAGTTGATTGGCTAGATTCCAAAAAAAGTGCTATTGTCCAATTTTTGAGATACTGGCTTATAAAATTGGACACGAGAAACTTCAGGTGGTCTAGACATGTTTTGCACAACCAAAACAAATCTTGTGTGAGTTAGAGTAGAGCAATGACATTGGGACAAGTGCTTGGCATTCATATGGCCTGGATCAACAGTGATAGGTGTAAGCCTGCAAGCAAATGTAACAATACCTTTCACAAGATACTGCTCCATTTACATCACAGACTGCACTATTTTCTCATCCTTATATTCATTTCATCTCTTATGCTATTAGAGATTTATCCATTGCACATTTCTATATAAGTTTTATCTTGCTCATTTTGCTCATTTCTATCAACGGTGGGCCAGAGCCTTAACAGGCATTGTTAAAGTATTGCAAAGTAAGGATTTTTCATTACTTTTTGATTTCATATTTATTAAAATCTTGGTTTTTTGATGACAATAAAATTGAGGGCTCAAAAAAAGGCCTTGATAACAGCTGATTCAGGCTTTATCTTTTTTAATGTATGGATTTTGTCTCAATCTTGAGCAAAACTTGCCAAAATGCACCATCCCTGCGTTCTTGGGGGGATTTTCAAGAATTTTCTCACTTTCTGGGGCATTTTCCAGTTCCCCCAAGCATAAACACAATAAATGTATGAATGGCCCCAAAAGTGGTGTTCCCCCATTGCCCTAAATGTATGAATTTTTGTTTACCCACATATATAGGGTTTCCTGCGTCCTGAGAAATTTCAAATATGTCAATAGCTGCACTAACCTTAGCAAATCTGTAGTAGAAATGTGTCAAATGGTAGAGTAGCATAGTAAAATTACATCAGATTGGGGATACATACTACATGCACAGGCAGAAAAAAAGTCCCCTGCTACACTGTCTCCCAGTGTATTTTTGCAGATTTTTGGCTTTTTTTGCTGCTAGGATTTCTGTAGTGTTGTGGAACACTGTGTAGCAGTGCACTAAAATGTCATGATGGTGGCCCAGGATGGTTAGAAAGGAAGTCTATTTCTGTCATGCCATTACACCTATAGTATACTTCCTGGGTCTTTTGATGCAGTTTATATCTCTTATTTAACTGTCTTTAACCACCTAATGATCAGATCCACCATTATGATCAAAATTTAGTACACAACAACCAATATATGGGTAAAATTTTATGCTCATTTACCAAATCAAGATTGATCATTAACAACAGATGTTTAATTTGGAAAAAAGGAAAGTTTGAAATATAGAAGAGTATAAATTATGTGGGAAGTACTATCTGGCAGACTAAAAAATAAGAAAAAAATAAAATCTGATGTAAAAGGAACCAATATCAAGCAGCCAAGTATTTTTTTTTATTTTTGAAGCATAGTCATCTAGACTCTCATAAAGTTTGCTTCCTTGACCAAGGTCATCTATGTTTGGGAGGATCATGGATTAAGTTGTTAAACCTTTTGGGGAGAGCTGAGATGATGAATTGGGAGTAAAATTGGTCTGATTTGATGTGCTCATTCCAAAAGTATTGGTTTTCATTCTTCAACCAATATCCCAGGAGAGTCAGCGCAGCTTCCAAGTACTTGAAAGGGCTCTCATCATGGAAAACCTTGAGGAGGTAAAGCTGGACTTCATCAAAGGCGGGGGATGTGGCTAGGTCAGCTATGGTCTTGTCCAGCGGCCCAAAGAGGGGGAAGAATGGTTCTGTAGCTGTCCCAAACAGCTTGCGAGAAAGAAATTCAAAGAAAGACACTTGGAGGGGCACCGTTAGGGTCGCTGGACAAAGAGAGGTAAACGCAGTGAGAATTGCAAGCGAGCTAGCGTCCATGTGGCTTAGCAATTTCCTCAATTTCCTTTTAAACCACTGTTGCTCCAAAATTTCCTGATCTCCCTCATGCGACAAGTGGCGTACACACAAGGCACCATTTCGAAATCGGGCAATCACGACCCTCTCCAATGGGAAGACTTTGTGCCACCTCTGAATTCCCCCCAGCTCATTTGCACTGACTTCGGCATGTCGATCTAGAATACCATGAGCACAACCACTTAATCCCTGGTCCATCTTCCACATGTGTGGCCCAGTCATCCAACTCATCATTGCCATCCTTCCCTTTGGCTTGGGTATGTGAGGTGGGTTCAAGGTCATATCCAAAAGTTGAAAATTTCCTATCTTCACCTTCTTGGGATCACCATCAACAAAAATATTTGTGAATCTGTTCTTGTATCCCTTGAAACTGCTTTTGTCTTCAGTGTTGACAATGATACTGTTGGTATTTTTGTTTACTAGTCCAGTTTCCTGATGAATCAAGTGTCTAGGATTTTCTCCCTGGAGTAGTGTAGCTGCATGTGCCCAAAAGTAATCATCTGCTCTGAAACATCTCTTCCATTGTTTGGGGCAAGTGTTCTTGAACCAGATTGCAATAATTGCTAAGGAGGTAGTCAAGGCTGATTCCTTTTCAACAAGGTACTTGACAACCCACTCCTGCACCGCCTCAAAATTTCTATTTGCAAGTTTATTGGTACAGAATCTTCCAATAACTGGAAGGCCTTGCTTGGGGCTGAAAATTTCCCCCAACAGCCAGAATTCCAGGCTTTGAAGGTCAGGTTGGGCAGAAGCCGCAGTCTTGAATCTCTTGCACAGGAGGCCATGAGTGTGGATGATCCACTTGTGAAGCTCTTTAAACACCATCAGTAAGTTGTTCATTTCAAATAAACTTCCACTTGAGTTCAAGGGAACAATCATTGCCATTGGTTCCTTGGGGTCCCCGTCCAAGGGTCCAATGATCAAACCACCCTCGGGGAATTCAACTCCATTACTTGGTTGGCCCATCCAAAAGTCTTGACAAAACTGATATTTTTCAAGACTCCTGATCTCTGGTTCAAACGCTTGGACATACTGGTCGGCCAGTCGAGCGTATTCCGGCTCATCTCTTTGGTCAAGTGTGGCCTCGATTCTGATGATGGGCGGCTCAATTCCACTTAATGGTGAGTGAATACCATTTGGCTGATGTTGCTTTAACATTTTATTGAGTTCATCCTCCATTGGATCCTCTTGGGGCAATCGTATAGATTTGGGCTGCTCCAGAGAGGAGCCGGGCTGTGTTGGTTTGCTATTTGGTCTTGGTGCCGGAATATTGGTCTCTATTGGCGGGGCAATAGTTGGGCCCACAGTGTTGAGTTCTTTCCATATTAAGTCCCAATCTAGCTCTGTGAGGGAAGGTGTCATGAGAGTTGAGCCATTCCCAGTGGTCTCAGATCCAGAGTAGTTGCTTTGTACTAGTTGATCCTCATCAGACTGCAAAAAGCTCTCCAGATCTTCATTTGTCACCCAGTTCCTAACTTCCAGTCGGGCTCTCTTTGAATCCCCGCCCAAGCCACTTTTACGGCAACCGTGGTTATTGGAGGTACTTCCAGAAGTTTGATCAAGCTGGTGCCCCTCCATGCAGATCTGTCCAGTGTTCCTTCTTGTGGAGGGAACTTCCAAAATAGCACCAGAGGTTCTGGGATGATGAAATTCAGGATGAGCTCCTACTGCCCATATTCTACCTTCATTTTCCGGGATTGGTCGGTAGTAGTTCTTGCTACCACTGCTGCTGCCTAATCCTGAAAACCGTACCCGCGTCGATCTTATTGGGTGGAATGCCGCTTGAGTTAATTGGTGCATGAAAGCAATCCCACAGAGCCACTGAGGTCGACAGAGTAATTCCAGTCCTCTCATTTTAAGTCCCTAGTTGATATATTTATTGGTATGTGTATGCCCAAACAGATTCCTTTTTTAGTTAATCACTCAGAGACAATTAGATAACAATAAGTTTCTAGTTCAGATTTTTTGATGAGTGCTTATTTGGAAAGTATTGAGTGCTAGTACTAGTTTAGAATGAATTTGGACCTGCAGAGACCTAAGATGTGATTGACAAGCCTGAGGCTGAACTTGTGCCAGTAGATGTCAGTTGAAAAATGGAGGCAGAATTCCATAAATGAATCATGACCTTTCCTACTCTCAGGAGTTGTTTATAAATTTCATTTTGCTTTAGAGGTCATACCAATGATCCATACAATTTGCTCTCCTGATGATGAGTGTGTTAGTGAAAGATAGGAGCCAGGGACTTCTTGGGTCTCGGAATGTGTAAGACACAGCAAGAAAATAAAACAAACTCATCGGTTTCATTGCTCAAATAAAGCCACAATGATAGCTGCAATTTGGTAAAATTATAGCTGCAAGTTGTTTATGCACCCCTCATAGAAACAGGTTTAGAGCTTCCTTGGTGGAACCTTTTTTTCCACAACTTTTACACTGTACTTTGGGGCATGAAAATTCAAATTTTAAGCATTTATCTTCCTCAATTTTCATATCACCAAAAGGCATTTGTTACCCTAAATTTGAAGAGGTCTACAACTGATTCAACAGCATTTCAACTCCCACACATCTCAGCTAACATTATACACTTTGAATTCACCATAATATGCAAAGCAAAATCCCAATTCAACATTTGACTTGAATCCAATCTCAGGTTTTGTTCCCAAATAGGTTGAATCATTACCAAAAACATTGTTGGTTGCTGGAAATCAGGTATCTTTCCTATTCCTGGTTTTTCATACATCCTTTCTTCTGGGGAAATTAATTGTCATTCTCAAAACCTTTTAATTCATCTCAAATAAAGTGACAATAAATTTAATTTCTCTCAATATCATTTGTTCAATGAGATGTGTATTCGTGATGGCTGGGCTGAATTCATCAGCTCAGGACTCCAGGAGGTGTTAGTCATACTTATCCAGGTTGTACCTGGTTAATGGGGCAATTAAGGACTTCTTCCTATGGGACTGAACCATCAGGTGTGAAAGTTCAATGATGCGCCTGTGCCACAAATTTCTTAGTACTGCAAGAAAGTAAGGAGCAATTGCTAGCAGTTGTAGATATGATGAAGTAAGTTGGATTTGGACTGTGAGCATAAGAGAACTTGAACCAATTTGATTTCTCAATAATTCAGTTCTCCTCAAAGCAAGGAGGAGAATTTAAACCAATTTTATTTCTCCTCCTTGCTTTGAGGAGAGCTTAAACAATCAAAGTTATCCTGCTTGCTTTGAGGGGAACTTGAAACAATTTAAGTTCTGCTCCTTGCTTTGAGGAGAACTTGAACCAATTTGAGTTCTCCTCCTTGTTTTGAGGAGAACTGAAACCAATTCAAGTTCTCCTCAAAGCAAGGAGGAGAACTTGAACCAATTTAAGTTCTCCTCCTGTCTTTGAGGAGAACTGAAACCAATTTAAGTTCTCCTCCTTGCTACAAGGATAACTTGAACCGATTCAAGTTTTCTTCCTTGTCTTGAGACAAACTTGAATCAATTGAAGTTCTCCTGCTTGCTTGGAGGAAAACTTAGACCAATCCCTTGCTGTGAGGAGGACTTGAAACAAATTTAAGTTCTCTGCCTCACTTTGAGGACAAATGAAACCAATTTAAGTTCTCCCCCTTGCTTTGAGGAGAACTAAAACCAGTTTAATTAAGTTATCCCCCTTGTTTTGAGGAGAAATTTCTGTGAAACTCTATAAAATATTATGTTTCTGATGGGAGTTGAACCTGTGCATAATCATTTCAAGTGTACCAGCCACTTGGCTAAGGACACTTGGATACACTATGGTCAATTGGATGTTGCTCCTGCTTGATTTGTCACCTCCTCAAAGACTGTAGCCACCCGTAGCAGATAACAACCAGACCACAGCAACAAGCAACTGACCGTGGTGATATGAATTACTGCAGTTTGGTCAATATAATCTACTGATTTCACTACAAAAACTGTAATTGAGGGTTAGACCTGTAAATGACAGGTCATATATATTAGTATGACACCAGTAGTTATGATAAAGCCATGAGAAGCAGAACCACAACATGAGACTTCACCAATTGAAGTTCTCCTCCTTGCTTTGAAGAGAACTTGAACCAATTTAAGTTATCCTCCATGCTTTGAAGAGAAATCAAATCAATTTTGGTTCTCCTCAAAGCAAGGAGGACAAATCAACCAATTTAATTTTTCCCCCTTGCTTTGAAGAGAAATTAAACCTATTTAAGTTCTCCTCAAAGCAAGCAAAACATTAGAACCAATTTGGGTTCTCCTACTGGCTTTGAGGAGAAATTAAATCAATTGAAGTTATCCTAGTTGCTTTCAGGAGAAATTAGATAGAAACATTTTTAGAGCTCCTGTGGTCAACGCTGCCACAGATACGGTATCTGCCCGTATCTGCCATGTATCACTATGTATCTGAGCCCCAATAAAAAAAAACTATCTGACCAATCTGCTTTTATTTGCAAGGAGATTCAACAAATTTGGTTTTTGGCCATGCAGCTTTGCAGAATTCTCCATGATACACACAGCGTATCGTATCTGTGGCAGCGTTGCTGTGGTGGTCACATCACAAAAAGGCAGTTGGTACCCAAAAGTTGAAGAAATCTACAACTGCTTTGACAGCATTTCACCTCTCACCTATCTCAGCTAACCTTATACACTTTGAATTCTACCATAATATGCATAGAGAAATCCTAAGTAAACATTTGAATTTATTCCAATCTCATATTTTGTTCCCACATAGGTTGAATCCTTTCCAAAAACATTGTTGGTTGCTTTCAATCAGGAATTTCTCCTATTATTGGCTGGTCATGCATATTTTCTTCTGGGGAAACTCATTGTTAATTTCAAAACCTTTTAACCTCATACAAAGTGACAAAACTTAATTTCTCTCAATATCATTTGTTTACTGACATATTTGTTCCTGGTGGCTGGGCTGGATTCATCAGCTCATGACTCCAGGAAGCTTTAGTCATACTTATCCAGGTTGGACCTGGTTAGTGGAGCAATTCAGGACTGCTTCACGTGGGACTAAACCAACAGCTGCTGAAGTTCAATGATGTGACTGTGCCAAAAATTTTCTAGTACTGCAAGAAAAAAGGAAGAAATTGCTAGCAGTTGTGGATATGATGAAGCAAGTTGGATTTCAGCTATTAGCAGTTGAGTGAGACTTGATTGCAGTGATAGGAAAATCAAGAAAAGTATTAAAAATGAAAGGAATATTTGTGGTTTTTCAGTGTGAGATGGCAAAAGCTATGTTAAAACACTAGTGGATTGTTTTCAGATTTTTGTTCAAATTTTCAATTGAGTGATAAAATATCCTGTTGAAGAATCTCTTAGTAGCTTCACCAAGGTCATGTTCCATTATAGAATTGAACAAATTCTTTCTGTAGCTTTCCATCCACATCATTATGAGTATCCACGATCCTGTAAAGATATCTCTACATCCTCTGCTATTCTTTGCCTTCTTTTTTATTTTTTGAACTTGCTCATATGCTTCAGTTTTCTTTATTTCTTTGATGAATTTTCCTGATCCAAATAACTTTTCAGCATATAAAAATCCTTTTTTCAGCTCTGAAATGAAGGAAACTTCCTCTGTTTCAACTGGAATAATTGTGCTTATCATATCAATGTAAAATAAATATGTCACTATCAGAGATTTCAACTTAGCATTAACATTTTGAGGAAATTTTGTAAAGTTGAGATTTGCTTTCTTGTTCCAATAATTGTACCAAAGTTCAAGATTGTTCATTAACATTCCAAGAGATTCTTCACCCTGTCTTTGCCTTTCTTCAGCCGCGCTTTCCAAATTTTCCGAAGGATCATTGTTTTTTTCAGAATTACGATAAAGTACTGGACAATATTTTATGAATTGCTCCTCTGTCATTACCAATTCTGCCATCTTAAGATCACATGACATCAGATTCAGAATTCGTAATACTTCATCTTTATCTCTTTGGGAGAGCTGGGATAGAATGAAGATATTTTCATCAAATTTCAATACTTGTGGCTGATATTCCCTCCTTGAATCCCCTCGGACAGAAAACTGATCACTATGATTTACTTCTTCCCGTGAAATGTATGTCTTTGGGTGTAATGGGTAATCTGGAGTAAATCCTAGAATCTTTGTGGCACTTTTTGTGGCACTTTTTGTGACAGTTTCTTGAGATAGGCCTATGTGATTTTGGTCACAGCTCTCAGAAAGAGAGCCTGGCCTGTGAGATTGGGATGATTCTGATTTCCTTCCTTCAAGGTTCAAATTTGCGTCCCTTTGGATTTTCACTCGAGTGCCTAGTAGTTTGATTGATTTCCGAACTCTTCCTTCATCTCCAGGAGGCGAACTCACTGTTGAAGACTTAGATTTCGCGTAATCTGAGCTCTTCTGAAATTTGCTACTTGATTTTGAAGTCATCTCGCAAGTCGCAATGGGATCACGTCCATGATAATTACCCTTGTTCAACTTGGGCTCTATCTGTTCGCGAGAATTGTACCTCTGTTTTTGTTTTTCGAGATAGTTTGGCTGAGACAACCTAGCCAAAGTCAAGTCACCTTCATTCGATTCTAGCCTTTGAGTTGAAAACATAAGATCGACCCGGGAACCTTTTTCGTTGAGGTGACATTCTGCTTCATTTGTGGAGGTACTAACTGCCAAATGATAAGGAGAGTTCAAACTATTTGTAGCCTCTGGCATAAGACTTCCCGCTGTTCCGTCATGAAAGTCACGGAGTGAGGGCCCAGAGAAGTTATCCACTGCGCGACAGGTGAACAACACAAATGAACAAGTGACAATCCGGTGAAACATTGGCTCTGAATTTTTGGAGATGATGCAAGCTTTGTTGTCGGTAGTGAATGAAGGATAGTGAATTTATGTTGATGGATTTCAATCTTCAAGGATGTTGCAGGGTGATCCTCTTATCTATCAGGTGCTCTGTGATTTGTCACTTTGAGACATTCCGACTTGAGACATCAAGCATGTAGCACATAAGCTCAGGTATAATTCGGCCATGAATGAGTGGATGTGTCAAGTGTCCACTTGCTACATAAGAATGTTTAATGAGGTTTGCTTCATCCTACGATGGTCTATCTCGTGTCGGTAAACGTCCGAAGTGGTTTCATGATCCTTGCTTAGCGCCGGCACTATTCAGTGACTGCCAGATTTTCGAAGAGAAAATTAACGTTAACCTGTGCATGAGCTCCCTCCTTTATACATCAACATCACTGTTCATCCTTCCACCCGACCGCATCAGGAATGTCCATCACCAGTGGATAAGACATCGGCGATTGTATTCCACATATCCTTCATTCCATCATGAATCCGCATGGCAAAGAGCCTCGGGATCTAGGTAGGAGGTTATAAATCTGCAATTACAACTTTTAATATTATGTACCGCTTTGGGCGACTCGTCGACCTGCAGACTGCAGTACTAGAAGGCACACATGTATCAACACAAGAGGTAGGACAAGTCGGCACCACGTGAAGGCCAACTCCTCAAGACCGCAGCGCGCCAGCTGGAAGCACCTAGTAGTCAAAAGACCATGCGTAGGATCGCCGCCTTACATATTTCAAGATTGTTTCGTCTGGACCAGGGAAGAGGCTATTGTCATTGGAGCCGGAGACGTGGGAAACCCATCGGCAAAGTCCGCGCCCTCCGAATTCAGAGGGCATTCAAATTCAAACAGGTTAACCGCACCAGCCAGTGTTCGAGCCAATTCTTCAATGCACCTTCCAATGTAACTTACCGCGATCCTCATTCTGTACATAGGACGGGCGAACCTTCCGTATCTCGTTTGTTTGGTTCATCCATGTAGCATACATCAATTTGATACAATGGTCATATCCTGACCACGCATTCAAAAGATGAGACCTATACGTTTTGCAAAAATCGCCTCCGCTGCTCCCATTACAAGAATACCCAGGAACAAGCCTTCCAGCTCGGGTTCAGGGGTGCATGTCAGTCGAAACTTGTGTCTCTTCGGCATAGGTTCTTTACAGTCAGACCAAGGTTCGGTCATCGGTTCTTTCGTCTGCACTCATCTTCCATTTCCACATAGTTGAAGACTACATGGTCGTCTCGTGACCCTCCCAACCAATCGATATTGTGCCGATTTACGACACTATAAACTAAGATCCCGCAGGATGCGACGTTTCGATTTACTCTACCTACTGCTATGGCTCTGTATGACCGATTTCTTACCACAACTGGCCAAGGCGGCATTCTACCCAGAATACTCCCTAGCCCGGTTCGCAGGAGTAGACAGCGAGAGTGGTGGCAAGCACGGGTTTCCCTCACTCGCTGAACATGAGGGCCAGTTATGGCAACCAGGATCTGTTCCTCCCTACTATCAACCTTACGACAACTCTGCGGCAGTCACGGAAAATTTCTCCATATGGGAAGATCCCCCCAGCTCGTGGGGCGGCGGCCTCTGGGAAGATAGCGAGAGCAGGCCGCCAAAGCAAGCACGCCTGGAGAGCTTCATAACCCCCGCTCAGGATCAAGCATATTGGGTAGATAACGAGTCTCGGATCGTGGAGTCAAGTTGGGACTTGAGAGCATCGGACCCCATAGCACTCCATCAGCATCAGAAACAGGCGGTCGACGCAACGCCAACAGGGTGTTGCCAACAGCCTGTCGGCGTTGCGTCCACTCATGCCGCGCGAGAGGACCCAGTTAACAACCAGTTCGAGGAGATGCTGAGTCTGGATCGGCCAGCCATCCTTCCGACCCCCTTGGCTCAGATTGAGTCACCCAGGGTGCCATTCCAGGCCACACTGAACAAACATAGACTGCCCGAGTATACACAACTCGCCATACGATATGTCAATAAATTCCAACCGGCGCTCAGAAGAGTCTTTGAATGTCAGTTAGATCAAGAATTCTGGACAGGTCCGGCCATGATGGGAGCCAAGTTCCCCGAGAGTGGTATGATCATTCGAGCCAGGGATCCCAACGATTCTACGGCTTTGGTGGTCCCCTTCGGCCCCAGTCAAAAATTACACGATATCCAAAGCTTGTCGATAGCCTTGACTGAACTCCACATCTGGATCATCCACGTTCACTCAGTCCTATGGACAAAAATTGTGGACGCAAGGAGTGTCAAAGCTGACCGTCAAAAACTGATACTCTGGCTCTTTGGAGAAATTTTTAACCCCAAGCAGGGTCTTCCGGTAGTTGGAAAAGTCTATTTGAAGAATCCACTCGACAGAGCTTTTGGAATCATTCAGTCATGGTTGATCAAGTACCTACTCGGGCGGGAATCCGTCCCGACGACCTCCTCGGCAATCGTGGCCATCTGGTCAAAGAATACTCAGCCCGAACAGTGGCGGGAAAAGATCACATTTGATCACTACTTTTGGGCACGAGCTACGATCCTACTCAAGAAAGATGCTGTAACCCTGCCACCTACTATCAATCCTGAAAATAGTGACCATATGGTCCTAAAAAGAAAGAGAATAAACAACGAAATCCCAAGAAAGCTGCAGATAGGAGACTTTGCACTCATTGACATGAGATATCCGGCTCAATACTCTAGTAACACAGCGACATTAACTTGGTTGACAGCGCCCTTTCTCTGGAAACTTCCAAAGACAGTCGACGGGCTGGGGAAGCCGATCATGGAAAAATTTTCGCGGATCGCAGGGAAAGAGCTTGGGGGGACTCGACAAATCCACAAGATTTTCCACAAGGAAGGAGTGGCGCTCACGCATCACAAGTCCGACAGCATAGACCAGCTCCGTGTCCGGCTTTGGTCAGCCGAAAAGGAAGACCTAACAAGACTCTATTCGGCAGGAGACAAGCTCAAGAAACTGCTGATCTCGGTCGAAGTCTGCTCGAGCTCGATCCTTTCTCACCTTGTCAACACCTCAAAGGAGCCCATCGAATCCCCCCCTTCCCAGACAGCCCACTTCAACTGGCTCGCTCGGAAGTTGTTCGACGTCGAGGTACTCTTCCCAATCTTCGGAAAGGTCCAGCGGAGCGTCGTTGACAGCGCAAGTGAAGACACCCCGCCCTTCGATGAAGTGCAGATCTTCCTCCTCAAGATTTTCATCGATAATAAGGGCCTGTTCAAGTTCTTTGAAGCCGCCCTTGCACTCTTGGGTTATTGGTTGAAAAATGAAAACCCAAGCTTTTGGAATCAACACCTTAAATCGGATGAGTTCTATTCCAAAATGATCATGTCAGCCATCGACAGAAAGTTTGTAAGATAAATTAAATGTGTACATATAAACTTCAAATTGCAAATCTACCATTATAGCTTCCAAAAAAACTATAATGTATTCTTGTTGCACCTGATATATTTATTAATTTTTTCAATTCTATCAGATATAAGAAAAAAGAAAGAAAACACAACAAAAAAGGGGATTAATGAACATACCCCCACCCCCACCTTTTCTGTGATTTACACCTGGGTTTTTACGACTGCTTTTCTGCTTTTAAACCTGGTTTCTCCCAGCCTTTTTAATTCATTTTTGGGGATTGTGAATATGCTAAAAATCATTTGGAATCAACCATCATCCCAAAATCAGCCGGCAAATTAGAAGACAACTCCCAACAGACATCTGTTGTGTCAGCTTGCTACTATGGCAGAGACAACCTGTCATAGCAAATAAAAATAATAAATTACAGAAAAATCTAACTATAAATTAAAAATATTACATAAGTAAAAGAAACAATATTACTTATGTAAATAAGATAAAAAATACATAAAAATAAATGAATAACTTAAAAAGTATAAAAAAACCTTGAATATTATTGCAGATTCTGAATCAGCATACAATTTAACCTAGGGTACCTCAGCCAAAGGTACCCCAAATTCTAACTCCTTCACCCTGTAATACAAGCATGAATAACCAACAGGTACCCCCAGATCACGGGTACTGTGACACTTCTGCATAATGCATAATGCATATACTCCAAATCCAGTCTCAGAATTGGATTATTGTGCACGGTTTAGAAGATAGAGCAGTGTGGAGTCCTGTCTCCAAGCCCATGTGCCACGTAGTCAGGCTGCGCACCAGTATCCAAGGATTGGGCCACAAAAGCCCCAGAATCCCCATTGCACATGGCAACAAAGCCCCCACACGTGTAATAAGAATGTGAACAAGCTAGAATATCCATGAAAATACTACAGTAACCATATTCCAGTGGGTAACACGTGTAGCAAGCCTCAGAAGACACCTCTGGAATATTCTGTGGCCCATTTCCAAGGAACCTGCTCCACGTAACAGAGTAGCCCCTATCCACAGGTTCCCATGGGACATTCTTGGATGTAATAATTTCGTGCATGACCCCTTGGAGCTTCTGGAATATTATCCCCAAGGTTCCAGCCCTGGTTACATCACCATGTGGGCCAAAATGGGCCCAAAAGCGCCCCCAAGTCCTACTAAGCTCCCCTGAGCAACCCCTGAGGCCTTCCACAGGTATTTAAAGGGCCTTCTGACCGCCCAAATAATGATCTCCCAGCTTTACAATACCAAATAGAAACACACCTACCATTTACAAGTCCCCTACACTTGTAATTAGCCTAGTTACTACTATTATTGCTGTTATTAAAGCCTCAAAATTCCTCAAGAAACTCAACAGTTATCACCCAGCACCCAAAATCAACATTTCTGAGCGCTCCCAACTGTCCAGTTTCAACTTTGAAGATCCTCAAGACCCCATAGGATTATTACTAGTAAGTAATAACCCTTTTCTTGAGATTTTCCCCTTAAATTCTTCCTGGGATTTAAACCACACCTGTTCACAGGCCCCAGTGTTCCAGGTATCTAAATCCTCTGCTTTTGAACGATACCTTAGACGGATTAAACCACCCCTGATTCATCAGGCCCCTCTGGTTTTATGTATATTAATTTTATTAATATAAATTGGCCATTTTTTCCTATCAATTAAATCCATAAATTCCTTTGTTTTATTGGAATTTACTCCTTTAAAATTAAAACCAAAAATATATAAGCTTTTTGTTTACTCTTGCACCACATGTAGCTAGAAGATTTTACATCTTGGCATCACGTAGGCTGCCATGTTGACAGTTGTTGGGAGTCTTTGACCAATTATTCGGAGTCATTTAACTAAACCCCATAAATAATCCCCAAAAGATATTTTAATTTTAATACATTTTATCCACCCAAGTTTTTTTTTTCTTTCTATGAGTTTTTGAAAAAGTCAAATAAAATCTGAATTTAGCATTGATATTGCCCAATTTTTGGGAAATTCAAAAAGAACCAAATCACATTTTGTTTTGGCAATCTCACTATTGTGGGTTTTAAGTAATAAGCAAATGGGCAAAGCAAGGAGGATCTTGAATAGTATCATCTATGTTGAGAAGAAAAATGAAAAAAAAAAACTTGACACTTAATCATGAGTTTTAGCTATACTTTAATTTTTCAAAACCCCGTAGGGAGAAAAAAAATTGGGGAAAAATTGGGCAAGAAAGATACATAAAAATGGAGATTGGTCTTAATTGGGGAATGTTTGACAAGCCTTCAAAGAATGCCAAATTTTTAGATGATTTTTAACTTATTTACAATCCCCAAAAAATGGAACTAGAAAGGCTGGGAAAAACTGGGTTTAAAATCAGAAAACCGGGTGTGAAAAACCAAGTGTAAATAGCAGAAAAAAGGGGGTACAAAAAAAAAAGTAAGAAAAGAATAGAAAGACAAAAAAAACACCAACATCAATTTTGTCTCTTGGTGGATGAAGCAAGATAAATTAGGTTGCTGTGTATGTTTCACATGGGGAAAGCAAACAGGCTCTGGGCCACCATATCACTTTTCAAATTTTACAAGCTGTCTGTCTCAGCTAGCACCAGTTGACTCTAGTGTATTGTGTCAATTTATAGAACCTCACCAGCTTGTCAAAACACTCACATGATTAATTGAATCCAGCCAAGCCATTCATCCGTCCTCCTGCACTTAATAAGCCTGCAGGCTTGAACACAATAGCCCAGTTCACGTAGGGCGGTTTGATTGACAAGTCTGAAAAGCCACACTGCTTGCTTATGTTTTGCGGGGGACTTCACCAAAACTTTAAGCAAGATGTTGTTAAGTGTTGCTTGTTGCAGAAATTTTATTTGCAAACGAGCAGCTCCGTGAACTGGCCTAATAATATCATGAGTTATATTTCTTTATTGTTTGACAGTATATATATCTCACACCAGGGGAGTTTGCTCAGCACCTGCTTTCAAGTGCCATCGCGTAGTATTCATCTGGAACCCTGTCAGATGTCTCTCAGAACCTTACCCCCATTTGATGTTGAATTTGTGCTGAATTCATGCTGAACTTATATGATCAACTTATCTGAATTCATATTGAAAATGGGTTGAATTCAACTTGGAACAATCTTCAACTTGACTATATACATAATTGGAACTCTTCTAGAACAAAATCTGCATTGCCAAGCATCAGGTCAGGTTGTCAGTAAAAATGAGATTTTTAAATTGCTTAATACATCAAACTATTATCCATATTCTAACAGCTGGTAAGTATATGATCCACTGGTTGAACCCAACAGACATGGTTTCCATGTGGTTATTCATATGTTTGAATTTTACAGATTATTGGCTTGGTTTTGCCATTTAAACATGAATCTGTTTGTATTACTTTGGCTCTGCACATACCAATCACTAACCATATTTGGAGTTTCTCCAGTGGCATTCAGATCAAGCAGTTGGCAAATAATGCGTGATTTTTATGCTAGTACATGGGGCAGATTATTATAAATGTAACCAACTATTTTCTGGTGTGTATTATGTAATGGACTTGAAGGATTGGTTTGATCCATGAAAATGTTAACTTATCAACTGGTCTTTGAACAGCACTGCAGAGTATAAGTAACACCTTGTTTCAAAAAGTCAAATAAAAATTGCAAGTTTTTAGCCATACAACCAAATTTTATAAACACTGAATGTTTTCAGATTTGGCTTCTTGATGTTTCTCAAAAGTGCTTAATACCAGATGTTCCAAAGTTAAAAAACCCAATTGATCGTGAGTTGCATGGGTAAACTTCCCAGTGGATTACCACATGAAAGCAAACACTCATAATTTTGGGAAATACAAATAATCTTATTTCTATCACATAATTTCTGTTGGCATGTAAAGAGCCTGATAGATAGTTTATGCACTAATAATTTGTTTCATGGCAACTGCAAATCAGATTTTTTTTCATGGATATGCATACATATCACTGCAGAATTGTCAGGAAAACCAAAGCTCAATTTGGGTTATGCAGAGAGCAGATTTTGAGTATTTTGTAACCTTTGAAATATTTAGGTGATGGTGCTATGACAAACAGTCATTGCATCACATATTTCCAAACCCATCTTTAAAATAAATTGAAGTGAATTGAGAGCATTGAAGAAGAGCGGAAAAGCAGTATTGAAACTTAGTTGAGGTTATTGGTTGTAGTATGAAATATGTACCTATCACTGAAGAAATTGAGAAGTGCAATCATAGAGAAATCGGAGAGAAAAGAAATTAGAACAAAAATAAATTAGAGTCAAAAAAGCAGAAATCAGAAGAAAACAATGGATATGCAGAAAAAAACCAAAGATAAGAACACAGAAGGTAGCTCATTCATTTAAGTTTTTTTTTTTTTATTCTCTTTTTCAATACGTTTTTCAGCTTCTGCTATTTGTACCTTCTGGCCAGCTATTTTAGTATCAGAGTTAATGTATTCAACAACAGCTTTAGATATTTTTTGAGACATCTGGCAAGAGAAACCAATCCTTGTATACTTATCAGATGGTGAAGCACCATCCAAAGTCTGATGCAATTCTTCCTGGGATCTGAAGACACACATGGTGACCCCTACAACCTCATTCAAGTCAATATAGACCTGAAAATCACGAAAAGTAAACTGACCACCAATCATGTCAAACCCATTGTCAGCTAAAATTGGATCATCGTCTTTAGAGTTTTGAGGGTTGAAGATTGGAATCCAGCAGACTAGGGTCCAGTTGTTGACGTCAGTGTCCTTGTGGGGTTCGTTGTAGAAGTTGTACATAGTGAAAGTGAAGAAAGAAGCAAAGTCGAACATGTTGTAAGGGGAGGGATATTCCATGTGAGCCATTGAAGGAAGTTGGCCATCGATAAGAGCTTCACGATACTCTTTGAATGCACGGGGAGCAAGTTGTTCGAGGTGTGTAGCAATCCATTTGTTAGCCTCTTCAAACGCAGAAGCCTCGTCCTCGGCGTTAAATTGAGACCTC